ATCTTCACAATTCTGGCTACATGGCCCGATGAAGCTAGCCGTTGTCCTCATCACCAGCGAAACGTCACGGCAACTCGAATTGCAAATTGTCGCGGGTTTACTCTCCAACACGCCGGTGGTGCTGAAACAGTAACTCGTAATTGGCCACGTATTGTCTACGCGGGTCGGTTGTTGGTGGTATAAACCCACGAAGAGACGAATCAACTCGTCTGAAAGCCGATCACCCGATAGCTCAAAGGGTGCTGAGATTTGCAGAGTGCTGCGAAATTCCAAGCCGCGAACAGCAGAGGGCGAAACGGGGACCCGCCGGTTGGAACGAATGAATGCCAAACAAAGGCAACGCATCTCGTCAAGAACAGTGACTTTTTTTAAAAAAAAGGTGGAACTAAATAGAGTACGGTAATAGGCGAATGTGTGTGTAAATGAATATATTCAACAATTAATGGAGCGCATGCACAGGGTAGAGATTATGGTGGTTACAAATCTGGCTTTGTTTTCGCGTTACCGGTAAACGAATGAGAAAAGCCGGTTATAACCGGTTTGCCACACACAAACACACAAATGTCTAGCAACAAACATGACATTATGGGACCCCTTTTGGTGGCATAAAAATAGTGAAAAATATCATTGGCTTTAACCTTTCCGGCATTAATACAGGAGGTGTTCAGACGTTCAAAGGTATAGCTGCTCGACCCGAGCTATCAATGCTTTTGTAGTGGGTTCCTGGAGGCTTGCGATGAAACTTGGAGGCAACACTTTTATTGATAACGACGTAACACGGCACCCCTTTACCCCGCTCACTAAGGAGGTACAGCCTCCGGGCTAACGTGCCCTATCACTCGGGGTAACCTAGAGCCCTCTGGCTAGGGGTAACCTAGGGGAGACTGACTGACCCGACCCAGCCAAGGTACAGAGTCCCGACCACTGGTCCGTACTCGGGCCCGGTCCTTACAAGGACGTCGGGTCCCGGGGGCCCCGGCCTAGCTGGTCTTCAGTCTTCACCTTCGTAGCACTGCCTCGAGCCGACCTGAGAGCCGCCTTTTATACCCGTCCCGGGGACTCTCCGCCCCCGGTACCGCCCCCTTTCTGGAATCTTCCAGAGAATCCTGGAAAGCCACCCCCCCAGCTCCTCACCTGGGGTAGGGGAGGGGAACCCAGCGTCTCTCTGGTCCGGCTCTCTCTCTATCCTCTTGTACAGGCTGGAACCCCCTACAGACCCCTGGCCGTAACTGCAGGTAAGTGAACAGGCGGGGTGTGCATTCCTATTTCCGACGCAACATTTTGATGCTTGCATTGTCCTACGTGCTGCTCGTCTTTTTGGCGTTGTTCTCTGGTCCACTAACACCGGTGGTGAGACGGGGCCATAGGGGAGGCTGCAGCTCCGGCGTAGGCCAATCAGTTTCAAGGACAATGCACAACGTTGTTTTCAAAGCACGTTTATGAAAAATAAGAATAGGTAAAGTTCTAGATTTGAAGTTTTCGTGACTGCAAGGATCCATACTCTTTGGTTCTTTCGGTAAAGTCACGTAGCTAAAATAAAATAAATGGAATTGAGATTGAGTTGTTTTCAATTTTTTGTAATTTTATTTATTTTTTACCTACGTGACCTGACCGAAAGAACCAAAGAATATAAATAGGTAAAGTCACGTCCGTATAAAATAAATTACGACGTTTCGGGCGCAACACAAGCGTCCGTCATCAGGTGGGAAATGCATGGTCTGCTGCTGAGGCAGACTGTATTAAAAGATTAATAAGAATAGGTTTTACTCTTTATGGCATTTAAACAGGTGTTAAGATGTTCAAACACCGAATAGAAACCTTTTTGCAAGGTATCAAGTTTGCATTAAATACACACAGTACTTGTGGTGAACATTCAAACATGTTCTGATCATATATTGGCATTATCTTTGAAACTGATTGGCCTACACCAGAGACAGCTTTCTTCATGTTCTAGTCTCACCAGTGTCAGACCACAGCACGTTTGTCTTTCATGTTTTACCACAAGCCTCATGCGTAGTTAATGCAGACTTCATGTGTCTATTTGGTGTATGAACATCTTGACGCCTCCTGTTAGTATTAATTCCGGGAAGGGTAAAGCCTATTCTTATTTTCCATCAGACGTCACATCGTATGTTTGTTTGTTGCCATTAAGTAGAATAAAATTATTATTCGTTATAACGCGACTCCAATAAATGTGATGGTGAGAGAAAAAAAACACTCAATACATTCATTGCACTGGGTTGGCCTTGGGAGAAAGAAATACAATCTATAATAGGCGACGTGTCGGGCAATAGCCCTTCTTCATAGCACACAGAGAGATCTGGAGATCGCTATGTCTCTCCGGCCTCTCCGTATACCATGAAAAAGGGCCATTTCCCGAAACGTCGCCTGTTTTATATTGCTCCTTGTAAAGGCCACACTCAGCGCACGGCGTTATCGACCCCACGTGTGGCTTTGAGCCGTTGTTGTTCATTGTGATTGTGCATCGTCGCCAACGCGGCGGCAGCAGCAGGAAGCAGCAGCAGCAGCAGCGACAGGGAATCTTTGTGATTGAACATTTGCTGCCATCTACCGATACGAGAAGATCGGTGATTTCGGGTAAAAAAAAAGATATGTACAAACATCGCCCGACTTACGAACGAGTCGAAGCACTACATGTGTTTCGTAAATCGAGGACATCAAGTACCTTTAAACCCCTCGCTATTCACCAGGTTCAACATATACTAAACGTACACTCATTACCGTGTCGCGACAATTCCGGACTCCAGTATTCGCGAGTTGAACGACGCGCCAGGCCGCCCACATCGGGGGGAATTCCGAATTCATTCGGCACGCCACCTCGGCTGCCCGCTTTGCCTTCGAGTGTCGCAGTCAGCCCGCGCGCCACGGGATAGGCACTACCCTGAAGCTCCTCCTGAACGAGCGAGTGTGCATTTTTAACCCCGCGCATGCAACTTCTCCTACACGCTACTACTATGTTGGGGGGTTTTTATACTACCGTTGTCTGGTAAGAGCTCATGGGGACCCTTTTTTGGCAGCATCGAAGGATGAAAATGAAGAATAAGTTTTACCTCTTTCTGGCAATAAAACAGAAAGTCTCCATCATAGGATCTCCTTTGCCAGTACCAAAATATGATAATAGGGTTTCCCCTTTTTTCAGGCAACATAAAACACGTTAAGATATTAAAACACCAAACGGAAACCTTTTACAAGGAATCATGTCTGCATTAACCACAATGCTTGTGGTCAGAATGCAAACAAGCAACAAACTCCGATAATATGTGGCATTGTCTTTGAAACTGATTGGTCCACACCAGAGACAGCTTTCTTCTGAGCCTCGTCTCAAAACGGTGTTAGACCAGAGGCCGCCAAAAGCTTTCCACGTGTTGAATTTAATTTATGTGAGCCACCCACTCACTTTTTATTGAGCACATCAACATTTGATTAATTTCGGGGGTAAAACGAGCTTCTTTTCTACTTTTGAGTGCAAATAAAAGCGTGTGATTTGAAAAGCTTTTTACGACCAATTTTGTCGTCATACTGAAACAAGCTCACTTCCTTTAGTCGCGTGGCTACTGCTGTTGTTGGAGACCAGTTGTTAAGGCGCCAGCTGATTGATTGCTGCGTCTAGAATTGCGGAGTGGCGAATCACTGCCGTGATTATATACGCTGTTCCTGGGTACTAAGTTGTGTTATTTTCCAATTGTTTATGCCTCAAAGGTAAAGAAAATGGCTATTATTCTGCACAAACTTTGCTTTTGTGACCAGGACACTTACTACCCAGAAACAAACGTTGTGTTACAGTGTTATGCCTTCACCTCCATATATAGAAATCTGCGAACCTAATAGGCTGTGTGAGTTTATTAAGGATGTGTGTGAGCCTCAGGGCCCATGAGCCTGGTTTTATATGTGAATCTACACATCTATGTGCAAGTCTGTGGGTCGCAGAAAAAAATGTATAGATCTGTGTGCGAGTCTGTGGGTCACAGAGTGAAAATATATGTCTGCAAGTTTATGAGCCTCAGGGTGGAGTGTTGAATAACTAAAATCGCCGCTGTGATGACAATGCCTCCTAATCAGCCTCCGTATTTGTGGATCGGCTACTGAGTCTTGAGTCGCTACCCGTTCCATGGCTCTGTGTCTGGGTGAGGACAACAGTCTCCGTGAACAACATCATCACCACCATCATCATTGCCATCAATTCTAATCCACATGGTTGGTGCAATGGATGCAGTGGCGGTCTATGAACCTCGCGGATGATTCGGTCTTTCAAGGGGTATGATGCTCATGATGATGATGCTGTTTCCTGTGTTTTGTCCTGGGCCTCTCCTAGGTCGACTCAGCCTCAAATGAGTACCTGGTGCGGTGTGTAAACATCGCCACTCGGGAGACAAAGGCGGGCGTGGTTAGTGTGGACTTGCTTGAAGTCATCTCTATCGCGAGCCGCCGCTACCTGGTGGCTATCGTTGCGATGAGTCGGAGTTGTGATGACGCGGATTGCCGTCTGCATGTAAATATTATTATTCATCTCCGCATGTACATGGTGCAGCCTTAAATGCTTCAGCAAATCAAAGGGCCGTTGATCATCTTCACGACGATTATCTGAACCGGTCCCGGGCCTCCCCTAGGTCGACTCGGCCTCAAATGGGTAAAGTACCGAGTTGCGATGTGGAACATTGTCGCCACTAGGGAGACAAAGGCGGCCGGGCGTGGCCTTGGCCACGCCCCCGCTTCATGCCTGCTTCTTCACACGCGCTGCTACTTTGCAAACAGCACTTGCCCCTGCAGTCTGTTAAAGGTTACACGGGGGATCATTGCCTTTGCGGCCTTCAAAGGAAAATAAACATACATATACAGCACTGACGTTTAGGGGGTTGGCCCTTCTTCAGTTATCATGTGCGACCGACATCAAACCTTCGGTGACGGAGAAGGCGCGAGTGTCCTCATAAGCTCACTCCGGCGACCGCTTGAACTCATGCCTGAGATCGAAAACTAATTTCTTAGATTGAAAAAAAAACTAATTTATTTACACCAGACACAAGCTTTTGTGGGGGTTGCGTTCCACTTCCCGAAACGTCTAATAAATCCGGAGAATGTGCTAATTTTTTTCGGTTCAAGTTTGCTTGGTTTTGGCACGACACTAAACGGCTGTTGTTCTCGGAATGCCCCCTCTGCATTTTTTTCAGACAGTTTTTTTTAAAATGAAAACCTTTGGATATATTTCTTAGGCAAAGTTTTTTCCGTAAACGTGAGTTACTGCAAATCCGGATATATTGTTGTTTCCCCAACAGTTTCACGTAAAACCATGGTTTATTTATTTAAAATAGTAGATAAACCGGTTTTAATCGGTTTTCCTTTAAAAAAAGTGGCATTTTGAAGGCCAAATAATATGGAACAGCGTCCCCTAGTGGCCAAACGTTTTCCCTTCTTTCATTTGATTTTGGTTCTTGTTCAAACATGTTGACACCGAGGTTTACAACAGATGTGTGTGAATGAATGAATTTGTTCATGTGGACTATAGCTCCGTGTTCGTAACGGTAAGCACTTACTGTATGTTTTCATGCTACAAAATGCCAGGTTCCTTAATTTCGAATTGACATCATGCCAAGAAGCTGCTGACCACTTTGGCAACAACGGTGTCCTGGACGTGCATGCAGCGTTGTAAAAAAATAAGTATTCCTTGCCAAATATTTTTTTTTAAATTGCGGATGGAAACTAACATTAATTTAACAAAGAACCTGGACATGTAAAAAAAAATGTAAAAGTAGAATTCTGTTTTCTATTTTCTAAGGAATATAGTTTTCGATCTTAGTTCCATGTTATGGGTTTTAAACATATCTTTGTACGCAACTTAATCTGCACAATTTAACTTTTTTTTTCTCTGTGTGATTGTGCGTCGGCAGTGGTGCATAAGCGCAAATATAAAAAAAAAACCGCAAACGCATTAGTCAGTAACAATGTACAAAAAAATAAATATATAATAAGTGATGTCTCAGGCAGTGGCGGGCCTTCTTTAGAAAACACAATTGAAATTTGCATATAAATTAGCACAAAAAAGTACTGTACTACACTACATACTGGTTAGTAATACTCAAACACAAACATCAAATTGAAAAAAATATCATGAAATGTATATTCCAGTGGTATCAGTAGCCACTGCGTCGATATACAGATAACAATGTTTTTCAGTCGAGACTCAATACTGTGCACACTAATACGGAGCTCAACATGAAGATGCCATCGTAGTCAAGTTGTTGATGCCACCACACCTCCCCAATGCCATTTTTTTATCCTCTGCACAGATCCCACAGCTACTGCACAGTACACATGCAACCTGCAACATCTGCCCTGACAGTATCCCATCATCTGGCATTTCTAGTCTTCCCCCAATATTACTTAACGCTTGGACAGCACTTCCGACCTCGACTAGCCGTTTACACACACTCCAAACATATTTCTCCACTCTTCCAGAGTGATGTTCATAGCTCTATCCACAACCTGGCCCGGCTAAATGAGCACAAAGAGTCGTAATTCTACTTTATAAGTAAATACAGACCAGAATCTACACGTTAACAGCTGCATAAAATGGCATGTTAGTTTTACCTGATATATCTCAAGTTACAGAAACTGATAAACAAAAAAAAATATCGACTCCATTTCAATGGGAATGTGTAAAGCAAGCTATATACAATCCTATTAGTTGGATACAATTTACCGGTCATTAATATACAGGTGGTCCTATGGCAGAATGCTAAAAGTGTACTCAGGTCATGGGTTAAATTCTCAAGGGTGGTCGACTCAGTCCATCGTACTCGAGGGTGCCGATAAAATTAGCGTTGTAGGAAGTGTACAATCGTTTCGATAGCTTTGTCGCTGGCACGGGAACGCGCAATTATAACCCCAAGTTCAGGACTGCCATTGTAGACGAGGCACTGCCCATGCTCATTTGAATATTCGGACCACAATGTCTATCATGATGGGTTATTGCCGGTACACAGGTAGATCTCCACAAATCCACACTCCAATTATCTGTGAATCCTAAAATGTAGGGCACCTTCCATGCTTCACAACAAAAGCTCATAATATTGCAGGAGCGGCAGTAATACATATCCGAGGGGTTTTGCCCCCTGAAGATTTGTCATTATTTACGCGGAGATGCAGGGAGACACAGACATACACGAGGGGCAGATGGAGACAAGAGTCAAATGGAGCTGTAACGAAGATTGAGATACGGAGACAAATAGAGATTTAAAAAAGACACACACGTAGATCCGGCGACAGGAGGAGAGGCGGGAAACGTTCGGAAAATCAAACAGAGAAGAATAGCGGTGCAGAGAGACAAACCAATCAAAAACAGATATACAAAGGCAAACGGAGGCATAGTACATGTAAAAAGGTGTATCTGGCACAGAAAAAAATGTGCTTACGTTATCTGTGGAGTAGTTAAGCATTTCTGCATTATTTTGACTTGGATATTAAGCCTGAACATGCAAAAATCTTTAACTACAGATCCACATAGCAGAATTGGTCAATTCGGCTTTAATATAATAAACATGGAGAAACTTCAACAATCCACTTTTTGTTTTTTTACAGATTGGAGTCGCAGCAAGTCAGTCCGAGTTGCTCCTGCAGCCCCCGAATAAAAATTGCGGATTAATGGAGTCGCGTGGCCAATGCCTCCCACAAGAAAATTTCGACTGTAATTATTGTTGATTTGAAGCTGTCGTGACTGCTTGGATTCCTTACTCTTTGGTTCTTTCGGTAAAGTCACGTGGCTATAAAACAATAGATCACGACGTTTCGATCGCAACCACAAGCGACCGTCTTCAGGTGATGTGAACATCGTAATATATATTTTTTCGATCTACGTGACTTTACAGAAAGAAATGACTTGAGCATTAGGAACATCTACCTTGAAGTGCAATTTTAACTTAGGCAATGTGTTTTTTTTTTATCTTTCAACACGGAATGTAAAAGCGATGTGAAAAAGTTGCTGTCAATAAGCTCTATAATAAATGGGCGCTTTTTGCAAAAAAAAAATGTTTTAACATTTCGAGCCGTGTTCAGTCTTTCCCCGGAGCGTTGCCAAATGACAACGTGGCGTAAACAATATCGCCTCCGTTATCATCGTCGCTAACACCGGCACATTCGTCGCCAAGACCGGCGTGTTCATCCCCATCCCTGCCGTAGCCGGCGCCAGGTCCGTCTTCGTCTCCTGAGGGCCTGGATGCTTGCTCAGGATGGGTGGTCTGACCGTCTGCCTGACCACAGCGTGCCTCCTCCACTTGATCTTCCTGCCGAGGGTGCTCCAACACAACTCTTGGCCCCTTGCGCTTTAAATGATAAAATAATAATAAAGTAACAAAAATGCATCGCTACAATCCTCAACACGGCAAATTACGCGGTGCTGTAAATGAAAAAAAAGATGTAAAGTAAGCTAAAATATTTAATCAATGCCCTTCAAAGCAGCAAGAGGGAACAGGCAGCGTTGACATTGTTGGTGATGGCATATTATAATTGTCATCATCATCAGCCATGATCAATGCACTGTTGGACAAAGTCGTTTTTATGTCAGATAAGGACACAACAGTGTAAGTAAACATTTCCTCCTGCACTTATTTACAACTTAATCGTAATTTAATTAAGGGTTCCAGTAGGTAAAAAAACCCATCCATAATAGAGGTTGTTTTTGGGTTAGATCGCGTAAATATATAAATGTGTCGTTAAAACCCGCCACCACCCGACACAGCCAACTAGTAAGGGTTGTCACGTATGTCGGGTGGTGGCGGGTTTTCACGACACATTTATATATTTACGCGATCTAACCCCAAAAAACCTCTATTATGGATGATATTGGTCGCGAAAGCCTACCATTTGTTAAACAAACAAAAAACAAGCACGGAGTGGTTTCACGGGGTTAGTCGTTATCGCTTTCACAATGAACTGGCAATTTACTTCCACAGGAATCACATAATTTAAATCAGGGTTGACGTCTCCGTTCAACCATATACCACTCTACTACCAAGACCTGGGGCCTAAGTACCAAATGGCGTAGACCAAGATTTTTTTTTTCCAAATTCTAATTCCACGTGGGATAGGGCATATAGGCGAAGGGGGTTTGCGTAACTTTCCATTGGATTGTTGGGGGCAGTAGCGAGCAACCTTGAGTCTGCCTTGCGTCCACACAGACACACACCGTTACAAACATTCACGCGGACACACACGTCCACACTCACCAATGTGTGTGTGTGTACACACGCGCGTGCACAATTGCGTACAAATATTTTCCCCACACATGTGTACACTGTCCCAGATAGACAAAGACAGCATCCCCCCCCATAGAGCATATTAACAGACTGATATCGAGCAGGTATGAAGGCCGACATGCTACACGATACACACGTACATAATACACACACTCTCTCTCATGTACACACAAAGACATTCCTGCATACAACAAACCGCCATTCGTCACTAAGTGACGATGACATCACCACGGCACTTGTCCCAAGCTAGATGCACCTTTGAGGCCACTTGAAGTGTTGAAGGCTCGTTGGTAGGAGGTCATGGAGGAGACTCAGGTGTCATGGGTTGACTTGACTGAGATGACTGGCAGATCTACCGCCTGTGGTCCCCACTATGCCAACTTGCTGCGTGTTTTTAGCTCCTGAGAGCGTAGCTCCTCCGCTCTCCACTGTTTCTTGAGGGCGACTGCCTCCAACTGTCCACTAGCGTCCTTCATGAGCCCCCTCCACAGAGGACGATTTTTAAACCGCTGGTAACAGTCAGCAAGTCCAACAAGCTCCACATCCTTCTGTACCGCATCAGCTCCATCTATTCTGTAGCTAGTGACACGCCCGTTTAGCCCCTTTTGCCCGGCCATACAGAAGCTGCTTGGGTATGTGGTGACTTTGCATGCGGGCAACATGACCCAGCCAACGCAGCCTTGCCTGCCGGAGGAGCTCACGATGGACTCTTTAAAGGATCTATGGTCTCCTAAACACAATCCAGTCTGCTTAAACCCAGGATGGATTGTAAGCCAGGCAGCCTGAATGGTTTAAACTTTCGCAGATGTTTCTTTCAAGGGCTCCACGTTTTGCAAGCAGAGAGGAGGGAGGGCATAACTATGGCCAAGGAGATCCAGAGCTTCGTATGGAGCTTCCACACAGAATTACGCAGATGATCACAAGTTGATGCCACTTGACTGATTAGGAATGAGACCTCTGCTTCAAAACCAGAGCTGGTTATAAGCACAATACCCAGGTATGGAAAATTCTCCATTCTCTTCACAACCGCCCCCCATCACTCATGGGGAGTGGAGTGAGGGAACGATTTAATTACGTAAAATACCCAGGCAGATGCTTTGTTTTTGTAGGGCTGATAAGGCATAGGCAACGCGATTGCGTATCGGTGTTCGTCAGAGTACGGGCGGCAAAATCTCAAATTGAAACCGGTAAAAATGTCATCCATCACAAACATCTGTGCAGTATCTGGGCCACATTGTCCGCGCGTCCGGAATAGCCACGGAACCGGACAAGACGACCGTGCGTGTGTGATTGGCCAGCCGCCAAAGTCGGTGGGTGAAGTGCGCAGCTTCCTCGGGTTTGCGTCTTATCACTGACGGTTCGTTCCGCATTTTGCGACGATTGCCAAACCGTTACATGCTTTGACCGCTAAAAAAACAGAAGTTTCAGTGGAGGGAGGAGGCCGCGTTTGTTGCGTGATCATCTTGCTAACGCGCCTCCCCTCGGCTATCCAAAATTTCTCCCTGCCGTTCGTATTAGATGCGGACGTCAGCGACACGGGCATAGGAGCTGTCTTGTCCCAGGTGAAAAACGATGGAGAGAGAGTGGTCGCGTATGGTAGCCGCGTGCTGTACACGCAGGGAACTTTTGGCCATGGTATATTTCATACAGCAGTATGGGCCATATCTTCACGGCAGGGACTTCGCTGTGCGCACAGACCATGCGGCTCTCCAATACTCCTTGCGAGTTGACCAGCCATCCGGCCAGCTTCCACGCTGGCTGGAAATACTGCACGAGTACTCGTTTAAGGTAATCTCCCGAAAGGGTCTAAGAGGCACTGCAACACAGATGCCCTGTCCCGCCTGCTGCTGAGTGTGTGATGCGTGCGCTCGACTGGTGCTGCCAGGTGTAAACCACCTGCGGCCGGGTCACCGCAAGTTGTGGCAGCGTGAAGTCACGCAGTACCAGCCGAGGTGGTCACACCTAGGGACAGCACATTGGGCACTTACGCACGCCGAGTGGGGACGGCTGCAGGTAAGAGGACGTGACACTTTTGAAATTTCGGCGCCGCACCGAGGCGAAAAGCAGAAATTCTGTCACGACGGGAGTGTCCCACATAGTCCTTCATGAAGGAGTTTTGATGAGGTGGTAGGGTGACGCGGGTGGTACACAAAAATAAGTGAATGCACCTCGGGGTCCGGAAAACGTTGCTGATGCTACAGCGAGATTTTTATTGGCCGGGTATGTCAGATGATGTGTACCACCTGGTTAAGGGCTGCACTGATTGCGCGCCGCAAACCACCGTTGAGAAAGGCTCAGCCTCCATGGCAGTCCATCCCCGTGTCCCGAATTAACGAGCTGGTTGCGCTTGACATTCTGGGGCCGTTTCCGGCTACCAAAAAGGGAAATAAATTCCTCTTGGTCGGTGTGTAATGTTTTTTTCCGGTGGCCAATGGCTTGGCCCCTACCAGACCAACCAGCCGCATCCATTGCCGATGCATTTTTGCATGGCTACGTGATGGACAAGGGAGCGCCTGAGCTGCTTCTCACGGATCAGGGGCGGAATTTCTCGTCGACACTGCTGCGGGAGGTATGCGATGCTTTGGGCACCAAAAAGATCAGAATGTCGCCATACCACCCTCAAACGGATGGCATGGTAGAACGCCTGCACAGGAACACACATCCATGCTCTGTCAGGCAGTTAATGAGGCACGAACAGACTGGGATTTGCACGTCCCAGGGGTCCTAGTGGCATACAGGATGGCCTCACATGCCACGATGGAATTTTCCCCGTTCTATCTTATGTACGGGCGAGAGAACGAACCCCCCTATGGAAGCTCAATTGGGCATGGCTTTAGGGAAAAAGAAGGTTGCCATGCCTGTGCCCATGCAGATCATGCTTGTATGATTGTCCGGGGCGCGTGAAGCAGCGAGGGAAAATTACGCCAAAAAGCAGGCTGCAAACGAAAAGAGCGCGGGGCAGCGTCAGTACGCGCTCCCATGGAAAATTGGGGACAGGACTTAGTTGCACTACCTACCCCAAGTTACATAGGCCATGGCGAGGTCCCGTTGGGAGTGGTGGAAATTAAAAGGCCACACTGTGTGCGGAAACAGGCAGGGCGTCGCCGGTAGTTTGTACACCCGTCACGTCTGAAGCCCTATGTTCATCCCCAGATAGACAGCTCATCCCCAAGTCCCGTACGGCCGGTGTCTCGTGTTTCCGACGAGCCGGGGCAGCCGGTCCCGGAACCTGTGCTTCAGAAAAATTGCGCTGTGCCGCCCAGAGGATCCGAGCCTCTGAAGCCTGGAAATTCTCCCGAAGCCGCCTCTTGCGAAGGACCGGAGGCTGGAGCCCGGTCAAGCTCTTCTGTTGAGTCCATTGAGCCATTTGTGCAAGTCCCCAGAGCCCCAAGAAAAGCGCCGGCAGGTGACCAAAAGCGGCAACTGCGGTGTACAAAGAGTACACACGCCAGTGAGCGACAGTATACGCGGGTGGGGTCCATCTGGAAGATCCTGGAACCTGCTAGTGGGTTCGAGAAGTGGGGCGTGGCCAGGACGGAGCGAGGCCACGCTGCTAGGATAAAAGGGGCCGAGAGCCGTAGCTCGAGGCTGTTTGTGGTAATCGGATTGTCTCGTCACCATCGTCGCTGCCGTCTTCATCATCGCTCGACGTCGCGCTGCTAGCTAGCCTGCCAGCTACCTTAGTCAGCGCCGTCGATGTTAGACGGCTAGTGTTGTATCAAGTGTGTGTGTGGTCGAGATCGTGCCTGTGCAATTGTCACCTCTGAAGTCCTGCACTACATTTGCATCCTCGGGACGAGCCACAGCATCTTTTTACATCATTTAACCTTTAGAAATAAAGCAATGCAACGATCTTGATTTGAAGCTTTCGTGACTGCAGGAATCCACACTCTTTGGTTCTTTCGGTAAAGTCACGTAGGTAGAAAAATAATAGATCACGATGATTTGATTGCAACACAAGCAATCGTTATCAGGTGGGACAACCACGGCAAGAAAAAAAACTGCTGAAGTAGGCGAGATGGCCTGCCAGCACTGAACCAATTTCTCAACCACATCAATTCCATACACCCGTCTATCATATTCACCATGGAAGTGGAAAAGGATGGCAAGCTACCATTCCTGGATGTTTTGATCGAGAAGAGACCTGATGGCTCGTTGGGACACTGTCTACAGGAAAGCCACCCACACAGATGCCTATCTAAAGCCTGACTCCCTTCACCATCCAGCCCAGAAGAATTCCCTCATCAAAACACTACACCATAGGGCACGTTGCATCTCTGACCAGCATCACCTAGCCAGTGAGCTGGAGCACGTACACCAAGCCCTCAGGATGAACGGATACTCGGACCATACAATCCGCAAAGCTGTCTCCCCAGCCATGCGGAGACAACCTTCTGAGGATCCAACCAAAACCATCACTTTACCGTACATAGCAGGTGTTACCAAAAAGATTTCCAAAATCTTAAACAAACACAAGATCCAGGTTCGTTTCAACACAGTACACAAAATCCGTGATTTGATCCCATCTTGTAAAGGATGTGATTCCTGATATGCAATACCCTGGTGCCTACAAACTGAGTTGTGGTTGCGGCAGCAGTTACATTGGGGAAACGAAACGACATGTCTCAGACCGCGTCAGTGAACACAAGGCGGATCTGAAACACGGTAGGACCAATACCTCTGCCGTTGCCGATCATTGTTTTAACCCAGTGGGCTCACACGAAATTGACTTTTCCAAGACTAAGGTACTCTGCAAACCCACCGGCTATTATCAGAGATTTGTTCATGAAGCCATCCAGATATATAAACACAGACACAACTTCGACAAGATGGGTACAAACTGAGCAATCATTGGAAGGAAGTTATTAACTGTGATGTTTCCATCCTACCTGCCTATGTCAGCTGTTATTTCCGACTCTCTGTGTGTCTTTCTCTCCCTCTCTCTCTCTGTGCATCTCTCTCCGATATCTACTCCAGTGACCCGGGTGCTGCTGCGGGGTCCACTTTCTGCCCCGCCTCCTCCCCCCCCATCTCTCTCCCCCCCTACTGACGAGGCCTACACTATATAACCTCGTGCCACGGCAGGTCTCTCGCCTACTTCAGCAGTTTTTGTCTTGCTGTGGTTGTCCCAACCTGATGACGATTGCTTGTGCTGCGATCGAAACGTCGTGAACTATTATTTTTCTACCAACGTGACTTTACCGAAAGAACCAAAGAGTAATGCAACAAATTGGAATGAACTAACAATGTATATACGGTATATTCATCGCCACGGGGAATGTATAACTGGATGGCTCGCCTGAATTATGGGAAATCGCAGGATTCTAGAAATGCAGTCTCCACGTGTCATACTTGATTTTGAGGTCTCCGAGTGGACGATCGATGTCCAAACAGGGTCCCTAATTTGCTGTCCCACTCCACAACACAATAACACCGCGCACACGGAATGAGAACTCACCATGAAGCTGACTTTGCTGTAGGTTACCGAGTTCTCGTTTTCCAAGGTCCTGGGCTGTTTCTGTGGTAGAGTGCTGGGGGCTGTATCTGTTGGGTCGGGTGATGTGTGAATGGACAATTCTAAATTAACGACAGTTATAATTGAACACGATCCTTCTAAGATACAAAAAAAGCATTGCAAAATGTGTCTGCGGTACTCTATGCCGCACTGAACATAATGCACAATTGCACAGACTTCTAATATAAAATAGTCCGGCGTTCCGTTTGTCCGTTGGTCCATCAACTAAATGATAAGAGCCTTTCAGAATTCCTTAATCCAAAAAAAAATTAAAGTGGACCCCCCACCACCTAGATGTGGGGGTAAAAAGTTGATCCAACAGATTTACAAAATTGGCAGAAAACCACCACCCCCCCCCCCCCAAAATAAAAGCCCTCCATAGGAGCTAGAATAAGGCAGTAGTAGGCGGCTGAAATTTTAGCTATTTAACGTTCAACTGGAAAAGACATAAACAAATCAAATATCGAACTTTTAATACAGAAAATGCGTGAAAATTGTAACTATGCGTTCGCTGTGAGATGACAACCACTTTTATACATTAAGGTTATTCAGCTCTGAGGTATACACATTTTTGGGATATACTGCGGGACGAAATATATCTCAAAATATCGGGAATGGGGAAAAGGCTAGGCGTTAACGTGTCGTCTTGAGCGGTGTATTATTATTGTTGCGCAAGTGACCAAACAAATATTGACTTTCAGTGTCCTATAAATATTTAGAGATACCCCAGAGCATGCAGCCACGACTGAAGGAATATAACCCCAGAAAAATGCGCCGTTAATGATTTAAGAGGAAGGCCTTGGTGCAGTTGCGGGCCCCTTCTAGGGGGCACTTGACACGCATGAGGAAGTGGTGTCTTAGCAATAGATATCGTGGGGGGCCCGGGGGGGGGGGCAGGGGGATTAGTCAACATTGAGGGGGTCTCGACTATTGAGCACCTCCCCCCCGCCCCACTGCAATTCAGCCCTCAAGATTTAAGGATAGTGATTTGATTCAACGATGCTTTTTCTCACATTGCGTGCTGAATGTGGCGTAAGAATAATGAATATGAATAATAATAACAGTAATTACGAATCCAGGCAAGGCAAACCGAGTACAATGGATTTCTTTCAGGAGGGTCCCTGGCTTTCGACCCAAACAATAGAATGCGTGTAATTTTAACGTGTTTTTGGCCAATGTATACCTGTTTGCACAAGGCGAGAGGAAACAACCGGAGCAATCGGAGGAAAGCCATTTTGCTGGCAGGGGCAACACTCCCTCCCCGTAGAAGATGGAAACAGATGGAGATTAGTCGACATGCTCTCCCCCCGCCTTCCCTCAAGTCAGGGTATGGGCACCTCGACAACCCACGGGAAGGAAAATCACACAGGTACCCTGTGTGATTCAACAATGTATTCTAGAAACCACAGCGCTTGATTGCAACGGTGGCGCCCCGTCGTTGAATTGACGAATCGTTAAAATACGAGGAGACGTATGGGGGGGGGGGGGGGGGGGTGGCCCTCATCATAACGCGATGTTGCTTTGTGTGTGGCCGTCGATACAAGGGTACCGACCTCGCCTCGAGCCCTCGGACAATGCGCAAACTACTCCCCCCGCCCCTACCCCGTTATCACGCTGTGCTTGAGGTGTCTGGCAACCTGCCGAGCGCTCAACACTGAACGTTGCATCCTCGCCTGCTTCGCCATTCCAGGACGCTATGCGGCCCTCTTGGCCGGCGTCACTTTCAGAGATGAGGGGGGGCTTTGTAAAAAAAAAAATTAAACCTGAGCAGGTCCGACTCAAGACGCGCAAACAGGGTAACAACCAACGCCTGAAACTGTGCACTCGCCTGATAATGTTGCACCGTCGGCTGCTGGGCCCGCACGGTGCAGCCCTTGGGCACTGGAAGCCCCTTTGTTGGCTTTTCGAGGCTTCTTTTCCACGTTGCTGTACACAGCCTCGTCTGCAGACACCCTGGTGGGCTTATCGTACCCCGTGTCTCTCGCCCTCTGAACCACGTCTCGTGGGTTTGCATCCGGGCTGCAGTCGTTGACGGATGGAGGTTGCGCCGATGACATCAGTTCTGGATGCAGGCACTCGCGAGGTCGGCTTTGCTTTGCTTTAAGAATGAAGAAAAGCGAGAGACGAAAAAAAACCCACACGCGAACCAGTTCTGAGGCTGTCTGTAAAACGGCGACGCACAGTGCGTCGGACAGACGGGACGGGCATACGCAGGCTGGGGACGAGAACAATTCCTCGAGGGCAAAGCACGTGATTGTGACAAAAAGGATCGCTTCTTCCGCCATGCCTTCTTCGCATGCCACACGTGACAACCACCGAACTGCACGCACGCAACCCATGTCGGAGGCCATCGGAGCAGAACGAATCTCGCCACACTTAAGTCCCTGTGGTACGAACAAACAAAGCTGTTGGCCAACGATGGCCATAACCGCACCGATGATGCCGAACAAAACGTGAATCTGGAATCCACTTATCTCGTTTTCCCGCACCTCCGATTAGCACGGTTGGCTGCGAACAGCCCGAAAGAAGCTCAACCTACGCACAGAATACGCTGGCGGTTGTCTAAAAACAGCTGTGTGTGTGTGTGCATGACACATGTCGGTGGTGATGTCACGTGACATGCAAGGCATTCTGGGAGGACCAAATAGCATGGTCATTATCGCACCATTTGCTCTCTTGACAATACTGAAGATATTCGATTTTTATTTTAGCGGAATTTCAAACGTTGCCAGAGGAAACGTTTGTGATATTTAACCCTCGACCCAGAGGTGATAAGTTGAGGGCAGAGAGGAGACGCGTTTTGACACGTGAACAATTGCAGTTCGTTCACCAACGCTTTAAATCACATTTCTAATGAATATTGTATCCGCTTAAAGTTTGGCTTTGCAATAGACACACGTGGTTAAGAAATATGTATGGGAAATACCATCAGAAACATTGCATGCTCTGGTGGGTCCTTAAATGAGCAGAAGGAACTCACAATGGCCGAGGCAGATAAGGCAAACGACTACCACAATGTTGCTTAATTTCCTTTTTTGGGAAAGATAAAAACAACCTCGCTAAAATGTCCTTCCTCATGTAAACCACCCATCATCAACATCATCCATGGTCAATCCATTGCTGGATGAACCCCTCCCCAAGCCACCGTCACGACTCATAATGTTGCAATGTACCAATCCACATAGCGGCCTACGCGCAAGCTCATTCTCTTGCTCCATCTCCACGGTAGACGTCCTTGCAGGGGCAATTCCATGCCTTGGCTGCCACTCCAGTATTGTGCTTGACCATCGTCCGTCATCCCTTCTGGTAATGTGTCCGACCCAACCGTCATGGATGACGTCATTAACCTATATGTTAGAAATCCTCTGGAGCTGTGAACTTTTAAATCTAGATTGAAAACATTTCTTTATAAATGTGTTTTGTGGTTAGTTTGTTGTCCTTCGCCCCCCCCCCCTCACCTCCGATTTAGCACGGTTGGCTACGTACGGTGCGAAATAAGTTCAACATACATAGACTCACACAAAGACCCATAGACTCACACATAGAACCATAGACTCGCACAGAGTACCATAGACTCACACAGAGACCCACAGACTCACACAGAGTCCCATAGACTCACACAAAGACCCATAGACTCACACATAGAACCATAGACTCGCACAGAGTACCATAGACTCACACAGAGACCCACAGACTCACAGAGACCCATAGACTCACACAGAGGCCCACACTCACACAGAGTACCATAGGCTCACACAGAGAACCATAGACTCACACAAAGACCCATAGACTCACACAGAGACCCATAGACTCACACAGAGAAACATAGACTCATACAGAGACCCATAGACTCACACAGAGTACCATAGACTCACACAGAGAAACATAGACTCACACAGAGACCCATAGACTCACACAGACCCATAGACTCACACAGAGACCCATAGACTCACACAGAGACCCATACTCACACAGAGTACCATAGACTCATCACACAGAAACCCATAGACTCACACAGAGACCCATAGACTCACATAGAGTACCATGGACTCACAAAGAGACCCATAGACTCACATAGAGTACCATAGACTCACACAGAGAAACATAGACTCACACAGAGACCCATAGACTCACACAGAGACCCATAGACTCACACAGACCCATAGACTCACACAGAGACCCATAGACTCACATAGAGTACCATAGACTCACACAGAGACCCATAGACTCACACAGAGACCCATAGACTCACACAGACCCATAGACTCACACAGAGACCCACAGACTCACACAGAGTACCATAGACTCACACAGAGACCCACAGACTCACACAGAGACCCATAGACTCACACAGAGACCCACAGACTCACACAGAGAAACATAGACTCACACAGAGACCCATAGACTCACACAGAGACCCATAGACTCACACAGACCCATAGACTCACACAGAGGCCCATAGACTCACATAGAGTACCATAGACTCACACAGAGAACCATAGACTCACACAGAGACCCACAGACTCACACAGAGTACCATAGACTCACACAGAGAACCATAGACTCACACAGAGATCCATAGACTCACACAGAGAACCATAGACTCACACAGAGACCCACAGACTCACACAGAGTACCATAGACTCACACAGAGACCCACAGACTCACACAGAGACCCATAGACTCACACAGAGAACCATAGACTCACACAGAGACCCACAGACTCACACAGAGTACCATAGACTCACACAGAGACCCACAGACTCACACAGAGACCCATAGACTCACACAGAGAACCATAGACTCACACAGAGACCCACAAACTCACACAGAGTGCCATAGACTCACACAGAGACCCACAGACTCACACAGAGTACCATAGATTCACCCATAGAGCCATAGACTCACACAGAGACCCATAGACTCACACAGAGTACGAAAGACTCACACAGAGACCCATAGACTCACACAGAGACCCACAGACTCACACAGAGTACCATAGACTCACACAGAGAACCATAGACTCACACAGAGACCCACAGACCCACACAAAGTACCATAGACTCACACAGAGAACCATAGACTCACACAGAGACCCATAGACTCACACAGAGAACCATAGACTCACACAGAGACCCACAGACTCACAAAGAGTACCATAGACTCACACAGAGACCCACAGACTCACACAGAGACCCATAGACTCACACAGAGACCCACAGACTCACACAGAGTACCATAGACTCACACATAGAACCATAGACTCACACAGAGACCCATAGACTCACACAGAGTACCAAAGACTCACACAGAGACCCATAGACTCACACAGAGTACTAAAGACTCACACAGAGAAACATAGACTCACACATAAACCCATAGATGCACACAGAGACCCATAGACACACACAGAGACCCATAGACTCACACAGACCCATAGACTCACACAGAGACCCATAGACTCACACAGAGACCCATAGACTCCTCACACAGAGACCCATAGACACACAGAGACCCGTAGACTCACACAGAGACCCATAGACACACACAGAGACCCATAGACTCACACAGAGACCCATTGACTCACACAGAGACCCATAGACACAGAGACCAATAGACTCACACAGAGACCCATAGACACACAGAGACTCATAGACTCACACAGAGACCCATAGACTCCTCACATAGAGACCATCAGACTCACACAGAGACCCAGGGTTTGTTGTCCTTCCCCCCGCACCTCCGATAGGCACGGTTGACTATGTATGATGCGAAAGCAGTTCAACATGTTCTCTAATCCATTTACAGCATTCCTATTTGTGCATACATTTCACTTTTTTTCTATATTCCGTGTTCATGGCCATGTTTTCTGAACCATGTGTCATTGCAGACAGTACACACGGATTCCTTAGGCGCATGAATACTATGTTACTTTTCATAATCAAGCTCAGCTTCCCAAAACATTCCAATCTGCGTTTGTCCACCCCTTAATTTCATATTTTTGATTGTGATCCACCTTCAATCGCTGTCCCGGGTTTCTCGGCTCTGTCATTTAATTGTGTCCCTCTGACAGCGATCTCAAATTGTTTGTCGAGCTAGTTGTACCTTTGCTTTGCTGATATTTTTCCAGATCCCAGTGTTACATACTTCTCTATTAGGTTCTTGTCGAGTTTTCTGCAGTTTATTGCCATTGGTGGACGTGACGGTGACGATATCGTCAGTCAACCGGAGATTTATGTCATGTTCTCTGCGTTCATAGTTATGCCTTTGTTTCTCCAGTGTAATTTTGGACAGGCGTCACTGTGAACATTTTTTTGCGCGATGGCATATCACCTTTGTCTTACTCCCCTCTTGAAATGTACTGTGAAACTTTCTGCCTGTCATTCTAGTGCGGCTCTTCTGCTTTATGGAAGTAAAAAAAAGGCCCCATTATCTGCAGTTCTTTATTATTAAAATGTCCCTCCCTTGATCACTGCTAATCCTACATAATACACGAACATAATATGACTTTGAGACAACCTACCGCCTACACATTCCGCAAGGAGTGACTAACCCCATATCTGCATTTCTCATCAACATGCTAAATTCCTCTGTTGATATGTAAACTCATTTGTCAAGGCTCTCTCCTCCTCCCACCCAGCTTAAAAGACGCTGCCAAGCTTAGCGGTGTTCATTAAGACGCTGTCTTTCCGACAGCTCTGTTTCTTCACCTGAGGACGGCTGCTTGCGTTGTGGCCGAAACGTCGTGAGAATTTTATTGTTTTATTTTGTATTATTTTATTATTTCCCTTCCACGTGACTTTACCCAAAGAACCAAGAATATCTTCTAAATGTTTTGTATTTCGGCCTGGGTTTGTGCGAGCTTCGATGATCAATACATTTCTACTTTAGACAAAGTGTATCTTCGTAAGTCTACAAAGGCTGGGCGTAATGATTAATTTAAGTTCATTGGTCTTTTCCAGAATCTGATTATTAGTATGTGGCCAATGGTGAAGACACCTCTTCGAAACCCTGTTGTTCGCTTTCTCATTTGTTTATTTCTCCGTTCCCAGTCATCTCGAGACGTGGGACTTAAGAAACCCGCACAATTGTTTAAACTGCCGAGCCAGAAGATGGAATCGAACTGGCGACCTCTGGATTGCAAGTCCGGTGCGCTAACTATTAGGCAAAGTGCAGCGATTCGCGAAAATATAACCGTCATTATTTGCTAACATTCTGTTGTCAGGGTTGTCACACAGTGCTGTGTCATGTTATTGTGCAAAAAGTGATCCCGTTTAAATTGATACATTGGAAAAGCATTTTGCTGCTCAGCAATTGGATCTGAGGAAGCGTGGAGTTGATCGCATTAGCTCGACGTCGAATTTGGGTGTGAGACTGGCGATTGGGAACTATCACGCCCATTGTACACCCCTCGTATTCATTTACAACCCTTTGTTCAAACATTTCTGGATGAAGGCCTGCCTGGTTATCGCACATTGGTGAAGGTGGGGGAGGATTGTGGGGGGGAGGTCCACATTTCGATTGCCAATAACTCTAGCTGCGGTTGGCTTGACTGCCAAACAAGGAACACACTACGCTATAAACCCCAGTAACCTGAGTTCAATTCCCAGCCATGGCTCGCAAACATTCTTTGCGAGTGATATCTGAACAAGTTAATAAAGGGGTGGGAGGGGGGGGGCCTCAACCAGCACTGACCAGCATGGCGAAATATGGTCAAACAACTCCCACAACTGACACAGCATGGCAAGGCGTTCATCTGGCAATGGGCTGAGAAATGAGCCGTGCGTTACTGCACACTCCTCAAATATGTGTGTTTCTGTACGTTGGTTGGAAGCAATTGCGAAAAAGCAGTGTACCCCTTCTCCGTCGTCGCAGAATGAGCAGTATGATAAGCAAAATAAACAGCACGCCCAATGCAACGACACCGACAGCCACCAGCATGACCATATCCAAGTGATCTGTGAAGGCAAAACAAAACACCCATGTCAATTCAGCCATTTGGATGGTGTTTGTGAAAGGGTGACAAGGCTGAAGCACTTCAAGTTATTGTCGTCATGCTCCTATGAAGATTTTGAAGGCGTTCATCACCTGTTGATGGATATAATGGTAGCGATGATCGTGGTATAGGTGATGATGAGGATGGTGATGATTATGGATGTGATAGTAATTAAGGGCGTTGATGATGGTGGCGGTGCTGATGACAGTGGAAATTATCATTGCAATAGAGGTGTTGATGATGGTGGAAATCATGGTCAGGTTGATTCCACTAACATTCCTGCGTGGACCAGTCGCCCAGAACTCACTGCTCTTGCGCAGATAAGAGGTGACGCATAATTTGCTGATGAATCTATTCATATTACCCTTGTGTGTTCCACAATGCTACTAGGACACGGACAGTAAAATGTGTGAATAGACAAAAAAAACAAGATCCAGATCTCCCGTCACCCCCAAACATCAAAGCGGAAAAGATAAGTACCACTTTCTGCACTGATCTACAAATATATGACATGCTCTGTATGAATGTGTTTAATTCGCCGAGTATCATAACGGACATCGAATAATCACAGCGTGCGATGCCATCCACTCCCGCAAGCCCATTAAGGACGCCCCGCTAATCGACAGAGCCTTCACTCAACAAGGTGAGTACCGCGTTGGAAAATCCTTGTGATATTGAGTTTTCATCACCTTTCTCTTCGCAATGGAGTGTGATAGTTTCCTGGAGCATTGATGGGAGGTTCACACCCCGGACAGAGCAAGGACACTTCTTTCCATCATGGTCTGCTGATGGCGTGAAGTTAAGCCTGCTTGTGATGTTGAACGTTCCATCTGGAAGCGCCGTTTCAGTCTTCGTGATCACTCCTCCGGTGATGAAATCCTCGCACCAGGTGATGTTTATCGAGCCCCTGGGGTACACGTTCGCTACACTGCAGCTCAGGGAGGCCGGCTGTCCAATCTCCAGCGCCGGCACATCTTGCTGTGCTAGCACGCTGCCTGGTACCGCTGTGATGCAGAGGCAGAGGCGTGGACATTAACGCACGTTCTAGTCTATACGATTAAACGCTTGCGACGTTTAGCTTAGACATTCACGGCATGAAGCCCACGAGTATAATTTTTTTAAAGAATGTTGTAGTCAGTTTAACACGCGGTAGGCTTTCGCGACCAATAGCATTCACAATAGCGGTGTTTGGGTGAGATCGCGAAAATATAAACCTTACTAACAGGCTGTGTCGGGTGGTGGCGGGTTTCACGACACATTTATATTTACGCGATCTAACCCAAAAAAAGCCTCTTACGGATAACGTTGTTAGTTGTTCACCCTCACAGTGTACAGAGAGTGCCCTTACCAATGACGAATGTTAAATCAGTAGGAGTGTATTTGTTTAACGTGGCCGACTCCGCTGCTGTGAGACGCAGGAGACCGACGCCGGGCCGGTTTGCTTTCCCATGGACCAAGAGACTAAAGCAACGTTCGTGTTTTATGTTTGTGTTTTATGTTTGTGTTTTATGTTGTGTTTTATGTTGTGTTTCATATTGTGTTTTATGTTGTGTTTTATGTTTGTGTTTTATGTTTGTGTTTTATTTTGTGTTTCATGTTGTGTTTTATGTTGTGTTTCATGTTGTGTTTTATGTTTGTGTTTCATGTTGTTTTATGTTGTGTTTCATGTGTATCATGTTCGTGTTTTATGTTTGTGTTTTATGTTTGTGTTTTATGTTTGTGTTTTATTTTGTGTTTCATGTTGTGTTTCATGTTGTGTTTTATGTTGTGTTTTATGTTTGTGTTTTATGTTTGTGTTTTATTTTGTGTTTCATGTTGTGTTTTATGTTGTGTTTTATTTTGTGTTTCATGTTGTGTTTCATGTTGTGTTTTATGTTTGTGTTTTATTTTGTGTTTCATGTTTGTGTTTCATGTTGTGTTGTATGTTGTGTTTCATATTGTTTGTGTTTTACGTTGTGTTTTTGTTGTGATTTACGTTGTGTTTCATGTTGTGTTTTATGTTGTGTTTTATGTTTGTGTTTTATGTTGTGTTTTATGTTTGTGTTTTATGTTGTGTTTTATGTTTGTGTTTTATTTTGTGTTTCATGTGTATCATGTTCGTGTTTTATGTTTGTGTTTTATGTTTGTGTTTTATTTTGTGTTTCATGTTGTGTTTTATGTTGTGTTTTATGTTGTGTTTTATGTTGTTTTACGTTGTGTTTTATGTTGTGTTTCGTGTTGTGTTTTAGGTTGTGTTTTAGGTTGTGTTTTATGTTGTGTTTTACGTTGTGTTTTATGTTGTGCTATATGTTGTGTTTTATATTTGTGTTTTATATTGTGCGAAATGTTGTGTTTTATGTTCGTGTTTAACGTTGTGCTATATAAAGGGAGTGGATTTGATGTATTCGATTTCATTCAAGTTCCGAATGCACAAAACCGAGACTGCTTCTGAACGCGCAATAACATTTTCACCACAGTATTGCAAGCATGGGTACGTAGTCTGGCATGCAATACTCAAAGCCCCCAGAAATGTGTGTCTTTACGTGTATAATTATAAAGCCTTGTCAATAAAAATGCTTTAAAAAGACTCACCAGTAACCTTCAGATCAATTCCCATTTTTGCAATAATTCTTGTACCATCTACTTCCAGGTAAAAATAATAAGTTCTCTCGTCCGATATTCTGATGTCTTCAATGAGTAGGGAACAGTTGCGTGCTGTCAGGTCGCCAGGTAGAGACACCCGGCCTTGATAGTCCATTATTGCTGTGGATTTGGCACTGACGCGGTAGACAAAGTCTGTAAAAGATCTCGCATTGTTGAGGAGCCAGAAGCCTTCCACGTGTGACGATTTAGTGATCGTTTGAATGCAAAATGAGCACGGGAGCATGGCCTGCGCACCCTTCGTCACGTGCACCACCTTGGCCCCATACGTCACTGAGGAGTAAACGCCGCCTCCACCTGTTGTGAATAAAGAGTCACGTTGGCATTCGAGCGTTCGTTTTGGGCAGTTCTTTCAGTTTAACACGTAGGCTTTCGCGACCAATTTATATTGGTCGCTTTCGCGACCAATATAAATAAATAAACGCGATCTAACCCAAAAACCTTTATTATGAGTTCTTTCAGTTAATACGTATTCTGTGTAATACTTAAGACTTTTTTGTATTAATTTCCAAGATACATTTTTATTGCAAAGATTCTACGCTGATCGCATCCACACAGCTTTCTCGAATGGGGAAAATGTAGAGTCAAAACAATTAGGCAATTTTTATACATTTCTATTGAACTTGCCCTGTTGTCCGTTTATATATTTGACTCTTGAAACCTTCGGATTTACGAAGCCTAACGAGCTGAAATTTTGTACACACAGACTCGTCGTCTCGCGAGACAATTCAAGTTTTCATTTAAAGAACAGGTCCAGGTTCCACTGATCCTGGGTCTCTGTGTTTTTTAACTTAATTTTTTATTGCACAATTTTTTTCTGCCGCATTTCGCATAGCACACAAACGGCGTAATCTGGTTCTACTAAATTATGACGAAGGCCTCTTGTCACAGTTTCCCCTTAATGTTTTTTTTCTCTCTTCTCCTGGTTAAATGTATGAGCCTGGTTAATTCACCTGCCTGTAAACAAGTCGTACCTAATGGCAACACACAATGGTGCAGGTCATAGGATTTAACGATGTGTTTTGCATGAATGGCAGTTACTTGTCACTTACACAACACTTGTAGATGTTTATATGAACTACCACTTCCTTTGGTGTTCGTTGCTATGCAATAGTACCAGCCGGAATCTTCCACCTGTACTTGTGGTATTGTTATTCTTTCTCCGAATGTGGCCAGTGACTCTCTGAGACCATTACGCATTTCTCTGAACCACGTGACGTTGTGAGCCGGGGGCCAGCTGTCATTTTCACACGTCACAGTCACATTCATGCCCTCTGTCACTTTGTCGGGGTCAAACTTTACTTTGATGCCTCTGGGTTCATATGGATCTGAAAATACATATTAATAACATTGGGAGAGAATTATGGATTACGGCGACGGAAATAATTGGATGATATTGAACACAAATGTTTACTTAATAAATGCGCAATATCATTGTGTTACTTCACACATTAAATACCAAATATCTTTGCAGTTAATCCATTTTAATTGCGAACAAAAGTGTACAGTTCAACTTCACTTGTTCCTTTCTGAGTATCTTTTATGTCAAGTACATGTAAGTATTCAAGGAAAGTCTTCCGCTTAGATATATTTGTATTTTTGTCCAAACCCTGTGGAACGCGAGGAGCGTCGAGCAATGGCAATGCATTGCACATGTCAAGTATCCCTGGGAATAGAATGTCAGAGTGCACAGGTAATGGTTCCATTTATCGCATTGGTGAATAGTTACCGTGTAAACAAGTTGTCAACGAGGGGTGTGATGGTGAATATATTCACCGATGAATCACGACCTTGAGCTCATGACTCATGCATTCACCTGCACGCGTGAACCGTGATGTTTGTATATCTGTATATGATGTATTTAATGTGATGTTTGTATATCTGTATATGATGTCTTTAACGTGATGTTTGTATATCTCTATAGAATGTATTTAATGTGATGTTTGTGTATCTGTATATGATGTCTTTAATGTGATGTTTGTATATCTGTATATGCTGTATTTAATGTACTGTTTGTATAACTATATATGCTGTCTTTAATGTGATGTTTGTATATCTGTATATGATGTCTTTAATATGATGTTTGTATATCTATATATGATGTCTTTAATGTGATGTATGTATATCTGTATATGATGTCTTTAATGTGATGTTTGTATATCTGTATATGCTGTCTTTAATGTGATGTATGTATATCTACATATGATGTCTTTAATGTGATGTTTGTATATCTATATATGCTGTATTTAATAGGACGTTTGTATATCTATATATGCTGTATTTAATATGATGTTTGTATATCTCTATATATGCCGTATTTAATGGGTTTATATAATCCCAGCCAGCCATTAAAATCACGACATTCACTCCGAGTGTTTACAAAATAAACTGATTGATTATTGAATCAAACGGTACCCTTGAACCGTGACAAGTTATTGCACAGCAGGTTGGGCAAATCTGCGGACACTGCCAACTCGTGGTGGCACTGAAACTAAAAAGGCTAAATCAGATTGCATAAACACTTCAAATGCTGTATTAGAATGTGTCCTAAATTGCGATGTTAATATTTAAAATCGCAAAATTAATCAGCAAGCAAATAAGTTAAAAAAAAACTTTGTTGAAGATATGCAATGACTATATTTTCAGGACGACATAAGAACATGAATAAAAATAAGTGTGGCATACATTTTACTTCCAGCGTAATTCCTTCCGCTCCAGTGAAGCCATTCGTCACCTTAAACCGAAAGAAATAAGTTGAAGCATCAGAACGTTGTACGTCGATAATCTTAAGGGAACAGTTTTTTTCCTTCAGGTCTCCAGCCAGAGACATCCGGTCCTTATACCAAGCCACTGGAGATGTTAGGCTGTACACGTTAGTTCCTGAATGCGCGTAGTCTTTCTTCCAAACAGCCAGCGTCACTTTAGATCCATCACTCTCGGGGAACGTGAAGGAACAGGGAAGAATCACGGTGCTTCCAGGGAAGGTCACGACCTTCGGTCCATAATTCACTTCCCACGCCACTTCAGCTGTCACTAGAAGCAGAGCCAACAGAAGCAGCAATCACCACGGTCATGTAAAACCTGTCAACTAGCAGGCAAATGTGGGTCATGACACGAGTGAAATATCAATAGAATTTGATGTGACCAACAACTGATGATAACATATAAAATGTGTATTCTTTACACATGACCCGTCAAAATCATTCGTCATTATCCCATTACGTGAGCATCACACGGTTGGTGAATCGGCTGCTTAATTATCATATTGCAAAAGATAAGTCATCTATCTATTCATAAAAAATATATATATACATTTACAGCCAAGCGGGTTGATGTCATGGTGTCATAGTTATCACACTGAAATGATCATCCACAGGTTGCCGAATAGATTTCATCTTCCGGCGTGGCAGTTTGAACAAAGGGCAAGTTTCTATGATCCCCGTGCCATGCGCACCCAGCAGAATAAATGGGTGCCCCGCAGTCAATCGGCAAGGTCGCGTGTGGTGGGGCAAAGCGTTGGGTGCTCACGCCTCTTCCCAGTCACGTGGCCAGTGCGGACAGCGTAGGCCAAATCGCCACTCGAAAATAAGCTCTCTGGAGCTCACGCGCGGGGAAGTTTCTGCTAGCAGTGGTTTGAGCTTAAGTGATTGCAGGCCCTGCACATTTACGGCTGAATATATATGTGTTAATAGATTTATATAGTCCATCAAGGTCCTGAAGGTCTTCTGATCTCCAACTGCTCGGCACTGCCAGGTGTAGGTTGTGCTCTTTGGGTGACCGGGCTGTTGTTAGCATGGCACCCAAGCTGTGGAACGCCTCGAAATTAGGCAATCGGAGTCGGTAAATATGTTCACGTCTCCTTTAATAACCCAATGTGGCCTTCCCTCTTTAGTTTAGTCGGTTGCCCCCTGGTTCTGTTTTTGTTTCCTCCTTTTCATGCATTGCGCATTGGTATCCTAGAATACATTTAAATTTCATTATTATTATTATTAATGGCAAGAGCAGGTCTTTGGTTTCATGATAAAGTTCCAGGAGCAGCACAAATAAGACGTGCGCCCCATGATGAGGGCATTTCATTGCCAATGTGCTATGGAGGGGTGAGTATGGCGGGCATTCTGGCCATGTTGGTATGAGACGGTGTAACATTTGTGTGCATGGCATAACGTACCTTCTGGGTGGTGTCTCAAGGCAAACCAACAAATGACACCGATCCACATTCTGCCAAACACTGCCAAGCCTTGCACGTGGAAATGCATTCTCATAGCATTGAAATAAAAAAACAAACCTGGGAACAATGGCACGACACAGCAGCACAAGAAGCATTGTTTTACTTATTTTTACCCTCATTGATTGTCATCAATGATCAGCTAAGAAAACATGTAAAAAAAATTCGAACAAAAACATTCAAATAACTCATTGTACAACATTCCATTTTTATAATAAGTCATGGAAGGCTGTAATAGATGAAGTGATTACGTGATTGATTCAACACGGTTACCAAAACCGGGGAATTATATTCACGATTTAGTACAAACATTTGCCACAGTACTTCCACAGAATTATAAAGTACTCTATTTGTACACACACATTTCTGTGTGTACATCCACACCACTGCATGCATTTCGTGCCACGTGTTAACATCTGCGCTGGGAATACTGCACAAAGATGTCCACATGCGGTCCGCCTCAACCTCCGCCTCGTGCCTTGTCGGGTGCTCATTAGCGACACTCAAGATTTGACCGTGAGAACAATCTTTCATCTTTGCCTGTATACACAGGTAATTATACACTGATGGAAACATTCATCAAAAGTTTTTAATGACCACTGCAATCCCTATCTCCATCGCTTGGGTCTAAGCCAGTGGTGTAAATTACATTATTGATAGAAACCAGCCTCCCACGAGGACAACCACATTGATAGAAACCAGCCTCCCATTCGGAAAACCACTATCGATAGGAACCAGCCTTACATTAGGACAACCACTATTGAAAGGAACCAGCCTTACATTAGGACAACCACTATTGATAGGACCAGCCTTACATTAGGACAACCACTATTGATAGGAACCAGCCTGACATTAGGACAACCACTATTGACTTCATACCAAAAAATAATCTTCTCATTCTATTAACCGTAGAGAGACAATGAGTTAAGGCTCCCTGCAACAGGGATTATAGCTCCCAGCCTTCTGAGTGGGAGAAGAACGCTCGAATCACACAATCTGGGTTGTCGATGTCATATCTGTACTGATGCTCGTTTGAGCAGAGCTACACGGAGACATTGGACTTGGTAACATTAACGCAGCAGCCCAAGTGCACTGCCATTATGGAAGTTAGGTGCTCGCGAATAGCACCTGTTAAAGGCTATAGGGGGGATCTTTGTGATTCTGTAAGTTAGTTCCTATGATGGCTGCAAAATTTGTACGGAATGTAAAATTTCGCTAAAATATCTGAGGAAAAATAGGGGAACGTTTTTCACGGCGTTTTAACTTTTGGTAAAGCTATAAAGGGTTTAAACTATTTTAAACTGAGCTAATTTTTATTTTACCAGATAAGGTCCACTGAGCTATATAGCTATTTTTCAGAAGTGACCTGGCCACAAACGATAGCTCAACGAAGTGGCTTATCGTGTGGTAATGTACAGAATCCAACTACCCTAAATGCATGTTTCCTACTGTTGAGGGAAAAACCCAAGGACCGGAGAAAAATCTACACGACCTTGGGTAGAACATGCAAACTCCAAATATACAGCAGGCGTCAGGGTCGGGATCGAACCCGCGGCCTCCTGCATACCAGGCGAGGGTGATAACATCTCGCCCCAAACAACATGTGCAAGACAAAATATCAATATAAAGTATACAACAATGAAAATGATCCTTACCTCTGTAATGTCCAGCCTTATTTTGGATGTATTGAAAAGCAATGCTCTCGTATGAGAAGTTGATTAAATCAGTTTGCTTGTTTTATACTTCACGAGAAAAGGGAACCAGCCTTGTGATGTACAAATCTCAACTTCTTGTTTCTTTTTTAATAAACAGGAACTCGCACGGCATTTTAACCCGTCTGTCCCTCCCTCTCTCCATCCCTGCAGCTAACCACTCAATGTTTTCCATAATGGAGGTTTTTTGTTTGTTACGTCTCGTAAATATAATTGTCGTTAAACCTGCCACCACCCGACACAGCCAATTAGTAAGGTTTGTCACGTAAACAAAGCATGCCAATTTATATAGATTATCTAATTAGTCTTGGGCAGTAGTCACTTGGCTTGCACAGAACTTCAACATCAAAATTAATTGAGTGTCCTTGTGGCACGCGTGTTCTTCTCCTGCTCACAGTTGAACCAGCCTGTTGATGTGCAACACTCAATTTCTCTTTTTGAAATAAACAGGAATTCGCATGTTCTTGGAACACGTACGGCCCTCCCTCTGACCAGAGTACGGTTGCAATTTCCTGGCTAAATGTGTACATCTTTTAAAGTTGTGTGTACAAAAAATCGCAGTCTGTGTTTGGTAATCGTGCAGTAATTTCACAGACATTTACCTCATCTTTTTCAGTAAATTTACAAACATTATTAGACAAAATAACAAAGTAAAATCCATCAAAACACCAAAAATATTCAACATGAAATACCCCCAATGATATGTGTAATAAATAGAATAGCATATATATTTATTTCTACTGTTCCCAGTATAAACAAATTAAACATCATCCTGAGATTTTAAATGGGTTTTTATTTTTATTTCAACCACTTTGGTTGTCAATTCCAACATCGAATGCCTACTCAGGTGATGCGATAAGCTGCACAATGTGCAGCGAAACGCGTTTCATCACTTCTCCAGTCGCTAACAGTACTTGCCCCTGCAGTCCGTTAAAGGTTACACGGGGAATGTTTGTCTTTTGAGTGTGCGAGTGCTCGTGTGTCGGTCTTTTTTCATGTTAGACCTTAATTGTCACCAGGCGCAAGTGTTTTTGGTTTCATACTCTTTGGTTCTATTGGGTAAAGTCACATAGGTGAAAATAAAATAACAAAAAATAACAAAAAATCACGACGTTTCGGCCACAACACAAGCGGCCTTCATCAGGTGAAGGGACGAGATTGTCTGGAGGACAGCGCTGTCCTCCAGACAGTATGGATCCTAGCAGTCACGAAAGCTTTAAATCTTTTTGGTTTCAGTTTTCAATTTTTCATTTATTTGGTATAGCCCTGTGAGCCATTCGGCTCTTGAATCGGGTGCAACCGCAACAAACAAAAAACAAAAATATGAACAAGAAAAACATTCTTATCTCTTTCGGTAAAGTCACGTTGAAGGGAAACAATAAAATATATATAAAACAATACAAATTCTCACGACGTTTCGACCATAACACAAACGGTCGTCATCAGGTGTGAAAACCAACGGCAAGAAACATTTGAAAGAAGTGGCGGTTTGCATTTACGAATTTGTGCCACTTCTTTCAAACGTTTCTTGCCGTTGGTTTTCACACCTGATGATGACCGTTTGTGTTATGGTCGAAACGTCGTGAGAATTTTTATTGTTTTATATATATTTCATTATTTTATTGTTTCCCTTCGACGTGACTTTACCGAAAGAGCTAAGAATATGAATTACTGCAGTCACGAAAGCTTTAAATCAAAAGAAAAAAACATCTTCAAGTGACTATGCGCAAACAGAAAAATCCAGGAAAAAACTGCAAAGACTTACAGAAAAAAGCACCGTACACCAACGCTCTGTGCAACAATCCCAGTGGGATGCAAGTCAAACAACAACAACAACCACCACCACAAGACAAACTTAGATTGAAGCTAGGTAATGTGGAAGCACGCAGCTTTGGGTTTGTTTGTTTTTTAAACGCGTGAGAGCAATACACGAGCACCTGGTTGCATGCATGCTAATCCTGAGAATGCGCAATTCTTCTGGGTTCAAGTTTAATTCGGTTGTGGCAGGGACGCCACTAAACGGCTGTTGTCCACGTAATGTTTTAAAATCGGAAATTTATAAATATTTTTTTCGCCATAGATTTGGGTGTAACGTGTGAGTTACTGAAAATCTCTGGATTTGTAGTAACGCTCCAGATAAGTTAAGAGGGCACCTTACAAACGTAGAAAATGTTTACCTGATACTCGGCAGAATACGGTAATTAAACATTTTTACGCGTAACATTATTTCGGTGATATACTATACGGTATTCGCAAAATTAATCGTAAAACCGGTTTTAATGTGCGGATTTGGTCCCGTGAGTGTGTTTTTGGCGTCCAAATGACGGGGTTTTTCGTGCGATTTTACACCAAAATCGTGCCGTCTAGTGGCGAGAAATCGCACATCTACTGCTTCTCACGGCGTTTTATGCGAGCTGAGTACCGTCTCCACAGCAATTCCACGTACAACCATGGTTTATCGCTTAAATTGGTTGATAATCCGGTTTGAATCTTTTTATTCTTTCAAACATATCGTTTTGAAGGCCAAACGTCATGGAACAGCGCACCCCTCCCACTCTTTCCCCTTCTTCCTCAAGGTGTCACCACCTCCTCCTCCTCGCTTCTAGGTGTCTCCACCACATTGCTCACCTGTGCGCAGAGACCCATTGCATTGTGAGTACATCCACTTGAGCGCTGACCTGTAACTCGGAGAGCGAGACTGGCGATCGACGTTCGAGTGTGACGACTCAAAGGAGCGGCGCTGCAATCGAGCGATTAGAGCGATTACAATCGTACACCCGACAAAATCACCCATCAGAGATTTTCCCTCCCATGTATGGTAATTGTGGATCGTGAATCGAGACTAATTGCCATCCATTTCGCTCGGTCGATCCGGCACCACCCACCTCAAAGTCGATCAGGCAGCCGTCTTGAAAATGTATGATTTTATCTTAAGTTAAATTCCACAGTTCACAGATACAAAACAACGGTATTGATCCACAATACAGGTTTATTTTGGTGGGTTAGATCGCGTGCATATAAATGTGTCGTTAAACCCACCACCACCCGACGAAGCCAATTAGTAATGTTTGTCACGTAAACAGAACATGTTTGTCACCACTGTGCAGACATTTCTCGTTCTGTTTACGTGACAACCCTTACTAGTTGGGTGTGTCGGGTGGTGGCGGGTTCTAACGACACAACATTTATGTATTTACGCGATCTAACCCCACAAAAAACTTATTATGCACAACTCTTATTATTGTTGTTATTATTGTATTCTAGATTTAAAGCTTTCGTGACTGCAAGGATCCATACTCTTTGGTTCTATTCGGTAAAGTCACGTAAAAAACAACAAAAAATAAAAAAAAAATCACGACGTTTCGGCCACAACACAAGTGGCCTTCATCAGGTCTAGAGGACAGTCTGTCTAGAGGACAGTCTGGTCCCTTCACCTGATGAAGGCCACTTGTGTTGTGGCCGAAACGTCGTGAATTTGTTTTAATTTTGTGTTGTTTTTTTTACGTGACTTTACCGAATAGAACCAAAGAGTATGTTATTATTGTACCCTGATCTCGACTTGAAGACAGCCGAGCAGCGCGAGTTCCGGAAATGATTGAACGACAAATGTAAAGCAAAGGTCCTGGAGACGAGCGAGGTGGCCCGATCGAGCCATGCCGTGCCGTGTCCCACGAGGTTGTCAACTGAGGGGAGGGGAGGGGTGAGGAAAGGGGGGGGAGGGCGATGTGAATCAACGTAAGTGCTTTGTAGTCTTTGGGTCTTTCGGTAAAGTCACGTCGATATACTCTTTGGTTCTATTGGGTAAAGTCACGTAGGTGAAAATAAAATAACAAAAAATCACGACGTTTCGGCCACAACACAAGCGGCCTTCATCAGGTGAAGGGACGAGACTGTCTGGAGGACAGCGCTGGAGTCGATATAGCTACAGCTTGCTCTGCTGGTCTAGACTACTCGAGTAGTAGTATACTTTATCCACTGCTGGCCTAGACTACCTCTAGTACACCATGCCTATTACATGCGCTATCCACTGCTGGTCTAGGCTCTATCTCTATAGCTTTTGCTCTATCATGGCCTAGACTCCATCTCGATAGGATGCTCTATCCACTGCTGGCCTAGGGGCCGTCCATCAATGACGTCACGCGATTTTGGACGATTTTTTACCTCCCCCCCCCCCCCCGTAGTCACACGGCGTCACAAAAAGTCAGACCCCCCCTCAAATATGACGTCACAAAGCTCTGCCCCCCGCTCTCGTCACACATCGTCACAAATGTCTGACCACCCCCCCCCCCCCCCCAGGTGCGTGACGTCATTTATGGACGGCCCCCTAGACTCTTGTGCCCCGTCCATTCCGTTCTCTCTAGGATGCTCTATCCACTGCTGACCTAGACTCTTGTGCCCCGCCCACTCCGTTCTGACACTTGGGCTACGCCCACTTTTACACCTCTATAAACAGTTGCATTTAGAGGCCTTACCTCCCTTTCCTCTCCGCCTGATGACGAACGCTTGTGTTGTGATCGAAACGTCGTAGTTTTTTTTAAATATATACTTTGGTTCTTTCGGTAAAGTCACGTAGGTGGAAAACATAATAAAAATTTAAATAAATTAAAACACGACGTTTCGATTGCAACACAATCATCATCAGGTGTGACAACCACAGCAAGAAATTTAGATTAATTTTATTTTTAAATTATTTTTTCCACCTACGTGACTTTACTGAAAGCAACAAAGAATATGGATCCTTGCAGTCACGAAAACTTCAAATCTAGAATGAGTCGTAGGTTTTTTGTTTATTTTTTTTATTAATTTGAACCTATCTACGTGACTTTACAATGTAAAGACCCAAAGAATATGAATTCCTGCATTCACGAAAGCTTTTAAGTCAAGATGTGGGTGCTTTCATTATATTTTTTCCTGTCAGTCGTAATTAAGGTTGGCACAATATCAAACGATTATCGATGTACCATTTTCCCATATGACTTAATTGTAAATGTTGTTGATCTGCTTTTCTTACTCTATTACAAATTAAGATTGCAGTTCCGTTCTTAAAAAGGGTCGATCGCAGTGCACTCAACCAAAATACGCCTACAAAAACACAACTCTTATCAT